TCTTAGTTCTTAAGGTAAGTGAAAAGCGTTTTACTGATCTTAGGGTTAGGGATTGTTACCGGATTTGGGTAATTTGCATTCCTAAGGTTCGGATTTGGGAAAAAACTGGGGCTTAGTGTTGAAGTTGATTCAACTCCTCTCCTTCTCGGTGCTTAAGAGAAACCTTATATTCTGATTTGGCTTAAAGAACTTTGAATTGGCCAAATCCGAGGCTATTTAGATCTTAACCAAACACTAATTAGGTCTTAGGGTTCAAGAATTAGGCTAAGCGGCTTCTCGGATACCAATTGTTAGAACTTTATACTTAGACAAGATCTTAATTAACCTAATTATAGGAACGCCTAAACCGAAATTAGGACTTTAATCAATCTTACTCGCTTGAAGATGCACCTAGGGCCACGATGACCTTCGCTTGCGAGTGCACTTTGTTGTCGGATGTAGAGTCGCGGTATGGTTTCAGGCGTCGTGGTGGTGGTAGCGGCTTGGTAGCAATGGTGGTGGTCAGGTGTGTGCGTGTTAAGATGGCTGGCGGCCACGGCCGAGCATGCGGGCACGGCGCGGTGGCGGGCGGCGGCGCGGCAGTGGTGACAGAGGAAGGCGGCTCATGGACGATATTTACTGCGGATCGCCGCGCCCGTGAGGATGGGGGCATCGCCGTGCCAAGATCGGTGGCGGCGGAGACACATCACGTCACCGGTCGGCCGCCGGCCGTCGCCACGTCATCCCTCTCGCCGCGCTACCATGCATGGCGCGGCACAGGCGTTCGCCGCGCCAGGGAAATAGGCGCAGCCAAAAGTGTTAGTTTTGGAAAAAAAATTAAAACAGTGTTAGATTTAAAATTAGTTTACAAAAAGTGTTAAAATTAAAAAAAATCCTCCGTGGTTAGCTGTGAATTGACGGCCTAGCTCCCTAGGACACTATGCCATCCGCCGCCACTGACGATGACGAGGAGGTGATCCTTTTAACCTTGGCCTTTGCTCTCCCTAGCCCCGTATGCCCTAAGCTCAGGCCGCGGATCGAGTCCCCACGCCCTAAGGCCTTGTTTAGTTCCGCGAATTTTGGGAATTTGGATACTGTAGCACTTTCGTTTTTATTTGGCAATTAGTGTTCAATCATGGACTAATTAAGCTCAAAACGTTCGTCTCACGATTTCCCACCAAACTGTGCAATTAGTTTTTTTCGTCTACATTTAATGTTTCATGCACGTATCACCAGATTCGATATGATGGCTACTGTAGCACTTTTTGGCATAAGTACCGTATTACGTAGAGTTGTAGGAGTTGTAGTACGTACATCCTTTTCTTCTGCTTTTTAATTCGACACACCGCACCTGATCGATCGTCGACGTCGATGCACATGCGAACACAACAATATTCGAGATCTCTTGGCCTGATAAATCTCCAGTTATCAAATATTCGTCCAGTTCTTACGTTAATTTGCATGTTCGATATGATCGATAACTAGTATATCTTACCTAGTTCTTAACTAGGTTGCATATTGTTGAGATCGAGCTTGCTGATATATATGATGATTGCATTGTCTACATCTACCACTTCCCGTTTGGTTTTGGTACAACTGAATATATATATGCATGATACTAATTAAAATTAATGATCATTGTACGTACGTGTGCTTGGTGTGTTTAGATGCTGATCTTGGTGAAGAATCTCGACGGCAAAACAGTGTCCGTCAGAGTGGAGTCCTCTTCTGACACGGTTGCCAGCGTCAAGGCAAAGCTTGAGGAGTTGGAGGGCATTCCTCCTCAGCACCAGAACCTTTTATACTCCTCCAGCAGGATTCTCAGAGATGGGCACAAGCTTTCCGATTAGGGCAGGGCCAACGGAGGCGAACGTTCTGTAGTGCCCCAAACGCCACATCGACGGAGCAGCATAGCGAGGCAGTTAATCTTCCGACGCCAACATTAAAAGAGCAGCCTCAAACTTCAATTATATATTAATATATTCTGTTGCATTGGACCACATACTCTCTGCTTTAGCATCTGCTGCAGGGTACGTACGTCACCAAGGAATCACTCTTGCGCTTCAACGCTTGCCTCGGTGTTGTCTTCGGCTTTTTGTCAGACGAGACCAAAACGTTGCTTCTGCAGGAGTCTCTGCAGCTCTGCGAGGCCATTAGCACAGCTGACATGGATACGCAGAGCTGAGGTGGAGCTTGGGGCAGCACGCCAGGTCGGCGCGTTGGGCAAGCCCTTACAACGTCGTGGAGGAGTCCACCTTGTACCTTCTCATGCGTCTTGCCCCTTGCGGTGGCGGATGCTGCAGTAGTGAGTCTAGTGACGACGACAGCATCTATATCTACGTCCAGACACGCACGAGAAAGACCCTCGCCCTCCAGGTGGAGCCATCGTCACACACGGTCACCGACGTCAGGAGAAAGATCAGCGGCCACCAGAGCCTGTTCTTGTCCGGCAACAAGCTCGAGGATGATCGGACGTTTGGATCCTATCATCAGGCCTTGTTTAGATACACTCAAAATTCCAAGTTTTTTCACTCTCTCTTCATCACATCAATTTTTAGCCGTTTGCATGGAGCATTAAATGTAGGACGAAAAAATAACTAATTGCACAGTTTAGTTGGAAATCACGAGATAAATCTTTTGAGCTTAGTTGGTCCACGATTAGACAATATTTACCAAATAAGACGAAAGTGCTACTATTTATCGGGTTGAAGTTTTTTTCAATTTAAACAAGGCCTCAGATCCAGAATGACACCACCCTGCACCTCAACTTCGGCATGCAGGTCTTCGATCGTGGAGACGCTCAATGGCAGCGAGACCATCACTGTTGAGGTAGAGCCATCTGATACAGTCGGTGATGTCAAGGCAAAGATACAGGACCAGCAGAGGCTCATCTTTGACGGCAGCAGGCGTGATAATAAGCGCAAGCTTGACTTTTACAAGGTTCAGCATCATTCGACCCTGCACCTTGATGACCTCTGTAGTCCGCGTGATGATGCCATGCAGCAGATTGGCGATTTCAAGGCAAAGATTCAGGACCAACAGAGGCTGCTCTTTGAAGGACAGCGGCTTGTGGATGTGGATGGAGATGGAGAGAGACGGGGACGCCGCCAATTACAACGCCCGAGACAATCCACACCCTACACCTTGACTGTCCCATGCAGTTTTTTGTGAAGACGTCGTCCACGGACCAGACGATCACTCTAGAGGTGGAGCCGTCTAACACCATTGAACATGTCAAGGAAAAGATCGGTGGTGGCCAGTGGCCACCAGAGTCTCACTGTCACCTTTGATAACAACGAGCTTGACGATGGGAAGACGCTTGCTGAGTGTAATGTCCATATGGGGTGTACCCTACACCTTCATGCTTAGCTACAAAAATTTGGCGTCTTTTGATGTTGATGCTCTACTATGTACTTAATATATTTTGCCTCTTCTAGATCTAGACTAGACTCTTATCGTATACTTTGCGAGCATGTGTCTTTCAAGTGAGGCTATCTTTGTCCATCTTTGTTTTGGTATAATAGTAAGAACATGCGTTTGTGATATATATATGCTCTTGCCCACACTGGCACCTCGTATCCATCTGAGTTTCTGACTGGTAATATTCAGCAGAGGTGCACTCGGAATACTTCAGTTAATTAAGCCGCTGCCTATACCTGAATACCGGCCTGCTTCCTTTTTGAATTCATCTGTTGATTATTCATGAGCTTTTCCTTCATTAGTTGCGTTGCAATTCCGTTTCTGTACTTTAAGTATTCAAATTATGTTTCTTTCGTGAACTGCAGTGAACTATCTCCCTCTCTCTCTAAGTTCAAGTTCAATCTTTACAAATCACAATTAGAGAGTTAATACTTGGATTGAACTCTCAGCATTAGGCATTTGTTCTACATTGGGTAACCTAAAGAGAGAGCGATCGATCGGTCTGAGCTATGGTTCTTGCATCCCAAGAATTCAATAACTCTTCAAATAACGTACCAGAATTATAGACCATCTTTCTTTAGCTATATGGGAAGAATTACGGTCAAGCATTTACCTTTTGTTTTTGAACTCATTGTTTTCTTCCCTAAGTATTGTGCATTGGATCAAATAGAACACCAAATATGCTTCATCTTTTGTAGGTTCTAGGATTGCTATTCTATTTGAAAGAGGATGGAATGATACGAGTGCCCTTCGAGCGGTGGATCAGAGGAACCACCAACACATCCCTTCAATTGCAAAAGGAAGAAAAAGAAATCAATCTGAATAACCTCTCTCAGCAACATATCAGCTTTACTAGCATGTATATTTGAGAGATACTCCCTCTGTACTAAATTGTAAATCGTTTTGGCTTTTCTATATACATAGCTTATACTATGCATCTAGACACAATATATATAGTGATTAACTAAAACTTTGAACTATTTTAAGAGAACAATATATTAGTATTATCATGTGCTCAAAAAATTGAGTAGTTTAAATATTATGTTATTAGAACTTAATGTCCGTTATATATCCGCGATCTGCACGCAGCTAATTCATATGAAGATGTGAAATGTGAATTGCATCTTTTTAGTACGTGAAGCTTCACCAAACAGGCCTTTTCGCTGCATCGTTCTTTCCTTAAAAAAAAGAATTTTATAAAAAACTAAACGCGCATCCTTGGAATCCAAATATGGGAAACTTGTTGTCTAGGGATAGTTGTCTGGGTCTAGCCCATCTTCCACTACAGTTGCGGGCTGCAGGCCCACGCACGCGCCACTCGGGGCCCAACGAAACTGGCGCCGCGACGGATCCTCTCGCCGGCTGCACCATGGCCGGGAAGAGCGAGGTACGCCCCCGTGGTCGAGGGTTGAGATGCCGACCACTCAGTGTGTGCGCGCGCGCGCCTCACGTCCAGTCCAGGTCCAGCCATCGGTGGGACAGCCTAGTCGAGGAGAAGCTTCGCCAGCGCCGCGCCGCACTCGTCGACGAGGTGAGTTCCTGCTCAGGTTTATCCGGTCCCCGTTCATCTCTTCCGTGTAAGAATAGAGGGATCGAACGAAATGTCAAGCGACGGGAAACCGGGAACTAGTGATTCTCCTGGAGGGAAGTATGCAACGGGGCCGGATGCTGCGTTTTTGTTTGTAGCTCGTGCCTCGCAGACTTCGATCTGCCTGAATTGCTCATCAGCCATCGCAGAGGCATTGGGCAAACTGCCACTTGAATTTTCGATTGTGAGCATGCAGCACGCGGTTGGCGATTAGCTTCCACTCCACTCAGCTGTAACAGTCCAGCGAAATTTCTGTCTCACCATCTTTCCTAGATGCCTAGGCACGAGACAGGAATCGACATTTGTCATCCACTATGCTTTGTCTTTCTTTCCTCCTAGACTTTCTTACACCTCTTTCCTGCTACTACTAGGGAACAATCTATGGGTGGATAGCAAAGCTTGACTTGACTCAGAGACTTGGAGTCTTTGGCCCCGCGTCTTCTGGGAAAAGACGCTAAAGTTTACTAGCAGCCAGTTTAATGAATTGATGATTGAGAAACTGCATTATGCACACGAAATTATTAAGCACCAGTGCAATGATTGATCAGTTAATCAGCTTTTAGTTTTTGGTTAATTGGAATGTATGCGCTTACCAATTCATTGCAGTGGGTAAGATGGTTGGCGATTGCAGATATAAATGGTTCTTTTGTCAATTTTCATTCAGAGTTGCTGTTTGCAAAATATTTCGTTACATGATTCGAGGGCAGTTTAGGATTTAAATTGAGTTTTTGAGATTGAGATTTCCACCAACAAGAAAAAAAAAGGGAAAGGTGAAAAGTAACGGAAAGGAAAGCAGTCTACCTAACCTTTTTTCATTTGTTATTAAGGGTGCCTGGCCAAGACGGCTTGACTTGACTCCCACCTTCCATGAAATGCACCGGCACTCAAGCTGAATGGCCATTATAAGAGCTTCACTCAGCCAAAAAACTTCAGGAGTTCGACACATACATTGAATTGCAAATCAATATTTTTTCACTACTTCACTCCACTCCATTACGCTTCACAACAACTAAAGCCGTTCCATGACCATGGGGACAGTTGTCGGTGAGATGCTTGCATCGGCTGTCCTGAAGGTGGTCATGGGGAAGCTTTAGTGCGGTTATTGGGCCTGAGGTCAGCTTGCTGTGGAAGTTCAAGGATGACTTCGAGTCGATCAGAAGCACACTGTTGACACTCCAAGCTGTGTTGGATGACGCTGAGAAGCGGTCTTCACGAGAGGAACGTGTGCACCTCTGGCTCAAGAGGCTTAAGTTTGCTGCTTATGACATTCATGACATTTTAGAGGAAATGGAATCCAAGAACGACATTGGCTGTGGTTCACTTAAGAAGGTGATCACCTTTTTCTATTTTCTGATTTAAACATTTTCTGCATTTAAGTATATTTCTGTTAAATGAATGGATTGAAAAAGTATATTGCTATGTTTCTGTTCAATATGTCGGTGTCGGGTAATCCTTAGTACTTGTTTTAAAGCTACCATCTGTGGTGTATATAAATTAATAGCTACTGAGCTATACCATATTGCATGTTTTGATTTGAAAATTTCTTTTGTTTGATTGTAAGTGTAATGGTAAACATGCAGTTAGTGGTAGCTGTCCAAGTTTCTGATATAATTTGTGCACCAATATAACTTAAAGTTGTAACACGATAGTCAACTAGGTTTCTTGAAGTTTATATGCAGGCAAGGAAGCAGGGAGTGTGCTTTCTAGCATGTACGGTTTTGGAATCGTTTGATTTTTAGGCTGTTACATCATCTGTGTGTTCTCCTTCAGTGAGCATTAGGCTCCAAGTCTTTTGAAGCCTGAGAAAGGACTGTTAATAACAGCAGAGTACCACCTATTAAACAAGTCTCTGTGATCTCTTTTGGAAATTTAGCTACCCACTCTTTGCTGGCAGTATGGAAACCTCTCTGTAAACCAATACCATGGCCCCTAATCCTGTGTCAACTGCAACGAAAGAAGCTAATCTACCACACAAAGCATGATGTTAAACAACAATGGTTACAGAAATTTCTGTTATTTATTTTCAGCATAGGGATAGGAATTTAGTTAGGGAAAAGCTTTCTCTGTGAATTATGTAACTTTACCTCAGAAATTGAAGTCTAAAACATGTGGCACAGCTTAGCGCACACATCACCATTGCTCACAAGATGAAGAAGATGAGACAGAGGTTGGAGAAGATTAAGGAAGAAGCAAAACTGGATATATTCAATTTCAAGGCTGATTATTGCTTCTTGGATGAAAATGTTAATAGCAGGGCTACATTTTCTTGTATCAGTGAAGAGATTGTGGGGAGGGCCATGGAGAAAGAAACTATAGTTGCTATGTTGACAACATATAGTGAAGAAAATTTTTTGACCCTCTGTATTTATGGTTTTGGTGGCCTTGGTAAGACCACTCTTGCCAGGTTAGCTTTCAATGATGAAAATGTTGGGAGAGTTTTTGATTACCGAGTATGGGTCTATGTATCTATGAAATTTGATCTGAAGAAAATTGGTGAATCTATACTTTCTGAAATTGATGAAGGTAACTGTGGCCACCATGCAAACCTTCAGGAGGTTACTCGTCATCTCCAAAGAGTACTTGCTGGCAAGAAGTTCTTGGTTGTTCTTGATGACCTATGGGAAGACAATTGGATCCAATTGCAAAATCTGAAGACAATGCTCAGCTGTGGTGCAAAGGGAAGTAAGATCATTGTGACTACACGCACTGGGAAGATTGCTTCCCTGATGGATCATTGCATGCCTTACAAGATGGATGTCCTATCTGATGATGATTGTTGGATTTTGTTTAAGAGACAGGCCTTTGTTCCTGGAAGGGATGATCCTAGGATAGAAGTAATTGGAAAGGATATAGTGAAGAAGTGCAATGGTGTGCCTTTGTCTGCACAAGCTTTGGGTTTCATGATGCGATTCAAGGAAGGGGTGGCTGCATGGGAAGCAGTGAGGGACAGTGAAATCTGGGAGATAGAAGAAGATCAGAATATCATGCCATCTTTGAAGCTTAGTTATTGCCTCATGCCTTGTCACCTGAGGCTGTGCTTTGCATACTGTGCAGTTTTCTCCAAAGGAGCTGTCATAGACAAGGACATGCTGATACAGCAGTGGATTGCACTTGGATTCATTCAACCCACTAGTGGAAGCTTGACACTTGCAAAGCGCGGTGAGGAGTACATCCGTGAACTAGTGAGCATGTCCTTCCTTCAGGCTTCAATGTTATCATCCTCAGTGAGTCACTTTTACATGATTATGAAATTCATATTCCACTATACTGCTGAACTTAGGGTGTTGTTTACACTGCATGTCATCTTAGTCATCTGCCATAGTTTTCATAATATTTACTTTTGTTGATATGTTCTTAATTCTTATTCGATTTGCTTATGCGTTTAAACTCATTATGTACACATCAGGCGGCTAACCATCACACGAAAGCTGCAAGGGTATTCCAGATGCATGATTTGGTGTATGACCTTGCAAGATGTGTTGCTAATGAAGAATTCCTATTCATGGATGCCAAAAAGAGTAGCACGACTAGTGCTGGAAGTGATCATTACCGACATACAGTGCTGATGAATTGCATTGAGGTACCAATGAACAGCAAGGCTGCACTCTGTAAGGCAAAATCACTTCATTTTAGAGATTGCAAAAGGCTGCAGATTTCTGGGAGATCACTCTCCCTGACCCTGAGTAAATTCTTGCGAGTCTTGGACATAAGTGGTTGTTCTATCTTAGAGTTACCAAGTCAACTTAACAAGATGAAGCAGTTACGTTATCTTGATGCATCGGGAATGCAGAATGAATTGAAACAGGAGTCTTTCGCTGGTTTACAATGCCTAAATGCACTAAACCTTTCAGCAAGTTATTTTCAGACATTGCCAGTTCAAATAGTTAACCTTGAGAAATTGCATTACTTAAACCTTCATGGCTGTTCTCGCCTCATGTTAATTCCTGAGTCCATTTGTGAACTAAGGGATTTGGTGCATCTAGACCTATCAGGATGCATTAACCTACGAGTTCTGCCCACATCTTTCGGAAAGCTCCAGAAACTATCATTCTTGGACATGTCTGGTTGTCTCAACCTAGTTAGCTTGCCGGAATCATTTTGCGACCTCTGTTACTTGGAGAACCTTAACTTGTCATTCTGTCATGAACTTAGAGAGTTGCCATTAGGCAATCATCAAGAACTCCTCATACTGGACGTGTCCAATTGTCATAAAATCCGCATTTTACCCATGTCATTTTGTAACCTCCTACATTTAGAGGATCTCAATTTGTCATGCTGTTATGAACTTCAAGAACTTCCAGAAGATTTTGGAAAAATTCATGGGCTTTGTATTCTGGATCTAAGTGACTGCCACAGACTTCAAGCATTGCCTGATTCCTTTACTGACCTTGTAAACATAGAGAAACTAATCTTATCTGATTGCTGGGAGCTAGTAAAGCTTCCAGAATTGCTTGGGTGCCTATGGAAAATTCAGGTTTTGGACCTATCATGTTGCTCACAACTTTTTGCATTGCCTGAGAGTGTTACTAACCTCACCAATTTAGAACACCTAAATCTGTCATGCTGCATTAGCCTTGAAAAGATGCCTGGAGACTACGGCAGCTTAAAGAAACTTAAGCTTTTGAACATATCATATTGTTTTAAGGTCAGTAGTATCCCTTATGGCATAGCCAATATGTCTAACCTCAACTGTTTGTTGGCGGTTGGGTTGGATGGTTACTCTTGTAAGAATAAGGATGATTTCAATATTGTAAGTAGCTTACTATGTATGCCTAGTATAGATTTAACTGAAAAGGACAGCCCCAGTGGCGACTTCCATGGGATCTTAAAGCACAAAAGACTCCATCTTTTGGGTCTCGGCACTGTGCAAAGCATTGATGAGGTTGAGAACTTAGGATTGTGCAGGCATCAGCAGCTCAACTCATTAAGACTTAGTAGCTCCTACTTGAATGGTAATGAAGTGGCTAAATTTGTACCAGATGACATTGTACTTGAAAAGATCATACCTCCAAGGACCCTGGAACACTTTGAACTTTTGGGCTATCGTGGTTCAGAATTTCCTGAGTGGATGCTGAATCTGACAACCATTTTGCCAAACCTTGTACACCTTAAGCTTTCTGGCCTTGCTACATGTGACCATCTGCCCCTCTTGGCCAGCTACCAAAATTGCAGTCTCTGGTCATAAATAATATACCAAATGTCAAGGCTGTTAGAGAAGATTTTGCTGGTGGCAGCAGAGCATTTTTGAAATTAAGGGACCTCACCATCAGTGATATGCCAAACCTAGAAAGGTGTCTGTTAACTCTATCAACTAGCAATGAAGAGGCCCATGTGTATATGTTCCCTAACCTTCACCATCTGAAGGTATCATGGTGCCCAAAGTTGATATTTGAACCATCTCTTCCACAGTGCCTTTTATTGGAAATTGATGCATGTGGTGAGATCTTGCAAGGATGGCCAGTCACACCTTCACAATTACACCCTAGGCCAACAAGAAGGTTAAGCTTCCAGTTCTGTGACTTATCATTTTCAAGGGAGGACCAACTTCATTTGTTTAGTTCCTTAAGTTCACTTAAGTTCCTGTCAATAAGGTCATGTGAAGGTTTGAACACTTGGGGAGAAAGCATAGGAACATTAACCAGCCTTGAGGTGTTGGAGCTTTCACTCTGTGATATACCAGTGTCTTTGGGAAGAATCGCTTCATTGCAGAGTCTGAGTATTGAAATGTGCCATCTACCTTGTGATTTTCCCCATTATTTGCTACAACTTCCATTCTTGCGGGAGCTACAAATGGTTTCTTGCGAAGCTAAGTTAGAGTTACCTGGTGAAATGACCAGAGCCATCTTGGCTCGTATTCCAAATATCAACATACACCATGTAAGTTACTGTGCATATATATATCTTTACATTCTGCTTATGGACTATGATTTCCTAGATAGCTCTGCGAAGATTAATTACAGTTATGGCAATTGATTGCAATTAGGATTGCGTGGAATCGTAGATGAATTGATTGGAGAGACCTATGTACATATATATAGGAGAGGAGATCTGGTGGCTTATAGAAATAGGACCTGCCGAGATCTCCTCCTGATATCTCTCTAACCATATATAGGGCTGGCCGGCTATACCAGGCACACGCCCAACATATACACACACGCACAACACATATATATTCTAACATCCTCCCGCAGTCACAGTGTCGATGGAGCGAACGTTGAGACTGGATCGAAACTCCGTGAAGACAGCAGTGGGCAAGCCTTTGGTGAAGATGTCAGCGAACTGAGATGTCGTTGGGACGTGAAGAACGCGGACAACACCTAGGGCCACTCGTTCTCGAACGAAGTGAAGATCAATCTCAATGTGCTTGGTGCGCTGATGCCGAACGGGGTTGGAAGACATATATACGGTGCTGATGTTGTCACAGTAGACCAAAGTGGCATGGTGCAGAGGTGTATGCAGCTCAGACAACAACTGTCGTATCCAAGAGGCTTCAGCAACGGCATTGGCGACCGCACGATACTCAGCTTACGCACTAGAGCGGGATCATCGTGTTCGGCGCTTGGAGGACCAGGAGATAAGATTACCATGATAGCAATTAGGATTGCGTGGAATCGTAGATGAATTGATTGGAGAGACCTATGTACATATATATGGGAGAGGAGATCTGGTGGCTTATAGAAATAGGACCTGCCGAGATCTCCTCCTGATATCTCTCTAACCATATATATAGGGTTGGCCGGCTATACCAGGCACACGCCCAACATATACACACGCACAACACATATATATTCTAACAGCAATCATGCATTCATGCTATACATACAGTCGTGAAATATCTTTATCTTGATGCACCAATGCTTTTTTCTTCTATATGTTGCATGTAATTTATAGGATGTCAATTGTGAACAGTTCATGACATATTTATAGTGTGGAACCACCCAATAGTATTCAGGTCAAGTTCATTTCTTGTCTTAGTTTCAAAGGGCACGAATGCAATCCAATATAGTGCCGGGTGTGTGTGATGTACAGTTTCTTGTACTTGTACCCTTTTCTTATTAATATAATGATACACAGCTCTCCTGTGATTTTGAGAAAAAAAGTCAGATAATGAAATATAGCATGACATATTCTTTCATCTCGTCAATTATGCAACTTATCTGTTCTTTTTCTGTATTCAGGTCGGATGTGTCAAGCATATAGAACAGGAGAATGGTATATGCCAAAATGTTTCAATTGACAAGGTAAGCTGATGGTATATTATATGCGCCTGTTCATTCGAAAGTTAATCAAATGTTTGTTTCATTATGGCAAGTAATTGGTGATGGTTGAACTGGATCGTTCAAATTTGAAAGCATGCAATTGATGCATACCTGACAAATGACAGTCTTTGGATGGCTGATTCTGTTGATGGTAGTTTATATTGCAATATTGTGGGAGGTATATGAGTACCATTTTTCTTAATCTATAGCACTAGTGCTCTGCTAGGTGCAGGAAATTAACAACTGGTGCAGATGGTTTATTTGAATACCCTCTCTTGTTGAGAACCTTCTTATATTTCAGAGGTTATTTTGTTGACATTCATCTTCTCTTCAAATTTAGGTCGGACGTATGAGCTCTATCAATGTTATAGTTGTGCCTCCACGGATCCAAATTGACCCAATGAGTCAGGTACCAGCAGTAAAGTTCTTTTGTAGACCTGAAGAATCAACTGTTTATTATCCCATGAAAAAGGATAAAAGATGACGTTTGGTGGAATTTGAAAGCATATACTGTGACAAAATAATTGATGCCCATGTCTATTCTTTGATCATCATAATTTTGGGCCCTTGCCATGTAGAAATTGAAATTTGTACGATCTATGCCTGAGTTGTCCTTAGCATTACAACTGTCGCTTTGAGGTCAGAAATACACCACGCTGTTCTGCAGTCCTGCCTCAGAGTCCCAACATTCCTGGTCCTAGGGTTTAAGTCTAATTGCTTAAATCTTTTCACAGTGGATTTATGCACATCTTTCACCTGATCCCTTTGCCTTCTGTACCGTGATACAGAATTCAGCAGGTGATGCCAGGAAGATGGTTCGGTTAAGGAATCTCCAGCTGAAGTCACCACGCCTAAGGATCAAAAGGCTTGCCAAAGTGACACAGCTGAAGAGCAGCAGGCATAGCGGCGTGGCGTAAATTACATTTCCGCAGCCAGAAAAGCAAGAACTGGGAACGTGGCTTCAAGTAGCAGCCAGCGAACGTGGAATTGCGGCAATATCGCGGGTGAGGTAGATATTGGAGATTTTATCAACTTCCTTCGGGAGAAGTTCGGGTGTCAAGGAACGTCAATGAACCATCAGCGGCACATGACGGTGACGGGAGGCTTTTCACGGATGAACCTATTCTGAGAAGGAAAAATTCCAGGTAGCGTCCAGTCTGGTGAAAATTGCAAACCAAATCTTGCTATTGCAAAACCAAACCCGGTGAGGCAGGGAAGCCGGTCACATGCACACTGCAATGTCGTATATATATTCTTCCTTTCCTTTTGAAGAATCTTTGCAGTGCAAATTGTTGTTCAAGTATTTCTAGCTTGATTCATGTTCTAGTGCAAGGCAACAAACTCTTATGTATGCCCTGCCCTGTCAGATGACGAACCTTGCTTGTAAGCAGCCAAGCGAATAACTGGATCATTATTACTCTGTTTCTCTTATCATTGCTTGCTAGTAGTGCTAGTGCATAAACATTGCTCCCCTTTTCTTTTCCCCTTTTTGACGAAGTTGTAATGGGGCAAGAACCCTCCAGGAATTTTGCACGATATTAAGTACACATCAGGCTACTAGTATATACCAAAAACAAATCATTATTTAAACAGATCCAACTTTATTAGCATGATAATATGTACACATTAGGGTGGCGTAGTGTATAAACATTGCTCCTCCCCCCTTTTGACGAAGTTGTAATGGGGCAAGAACCCTCCAGGAATTTTGCACGATATTAAGTACATATCAGGCTACTAGTATATAAAAAAAACAAATCATTCACTACTACAGGAATTTTAATTGACGGGCACTTTTCCTTAACCGAGGCGGGCAAGCCAACCGCCTCGGCGCGAAGGTCACGGTTAATCGTGGCCCAACCGCCTCGGTTAATAGATTAACCGTGGCGGACATCATAAGCTATCCGCCTCGTAACGCGCCCGCCTCGCTTAAGATTTTAACCGAGGCGGTTGAATAAAGACGTCCACCTCGGTTAAGATTTTAACCGAGGCGGTTTTTATTACTTGGCCGCCTCGGTTAATGATTTCTAGATTTAAAAAAGAATACTTTTTCAAATTAGAATTTAAAATTTCGCTAATGAAAACACAAATAAAGCAGAAAATAGATGACAAACATATATTACATTCGTTCTCGTTCGATGAACCGACATTAAGTTATTACAGTAGTGATGTCTTCATGATTGTTTTACAAACACAAATCATTCGTACATCAGCAACTAAGGTCATTCATACATATCATTTTTTACTGGAAAAAGAGGTCCGGCGCTCCAGTTTCTGATCGTCTCGAACTTCAAATCCCGCGCTAACTCGCTTTTCTGGTTGAAGAACGTATTCCCTTCATGCACGCTCTCTGTGACAAACTTATATATATTTGCTACTGTTTGTCTGAAGTCTTGGTCGACCTTCTCCCTTCGCCACCATCCTTGTGCTTTCTTGAGCTGCCGCCAGCTGCTGCTGAATCTGCTGCACATCCTCAAATACTCGCAAACGTAGAATCTACATAGAACTGAGCCATAGGGTTGTTTAGCGCACTGCATGATGTATAATACACAATTATTAGAGCATATATAATAAACAATCAGTAGGAGTAGTAGAACTAGTAGTAGTGAGTAGAGTAGAGTAGAGTAGAGTAGTAGTAGGAGTACTAGAGTAGAGTAGAGTAGTAGGTGTAGTATTAGGAGAAGAGCAGTAGTAGTAGTATTGGTACTTACCGGGAACTCACGCCTGAGTTTCAGTTTTGTGCCATTCTTGATCTTCTTCTTCTCAGATCTCTGATCATAGCAGCCGGGATCTTTCACGTACTTCTTATAAGCGCCGTACGAAAAACCACTAGTGTCAACGACATTTTCAACAAGTATGTTAACTGTAAATGAATAAGTTCCGTCACTTACTATCTCAAACAGCTTTCAAATTGCTTGTACCCTGCTTTGTTTGTATCCCATAAAGAGTCAAATATACAGGCCCTTCCATCCTGAGGATAGATTATAAACGCAATCCTGTGGCCCATGATGCCCTGGCTGCACCATTCACACAATACAGATTAGAAATGTTCAAATATGAGAAGTCATGATCCTAATACCTATATATATGGTCCAAGTATCTTTTGGACTTACCTGAACTGGTGGGCGGCCATGACGCACCCATTTCCCCGAATCTTCTTCATGGCCTCATAGATGTACATTCCTGCCCGATACTTATATTCGATTACCAGATCTTCCCTATATTTCTTTCTCTCCTCCGGGTTCAAGTTCACCAGCTTTTCATGAGTGTCCAGTACATCGTAACCCGCGATGGTTCTCTCTATAATGAGCATCAGAGAGAGATAGATAATATCCTTGCCCAATTCCTTGCTTACATAGGCCTGCATCCTGCAAGGAAAAGTCATCATGGCATTATTAGTTTGTTCCTAAAGTACCTACAGCGATGCAGTAGTGTCAAAGTCATAAGTAACTTACAAGGCAAATAAGGTGACTTGGGCGACATCAAGGTCCTTTCGCCATAGTAGTCTACGCATGTTGTGGAAATCTACAATGACTTCACCATCCGTGGGCATGTTGAAGTACTCCGCCGGAATGTTGATGATGAAGTTTTCCAGGCCCACTTTCGCTGCTTCCATGTACCACAGATGGAACCTCCTTACCTCCTACATCTCTTCAAGGAGGTCGCCCAAGGTCAACATGAACTTCCCATGCACGTAGTTTTTGGGGCAATCATCCGACCAGGGCCAAAATGATGGTGGTGTTTTCGGCCTACAACACCGGGGCTTTGAGATGTTAGGGAGTGGAAAAAGCAGATAGCATCTCGAAATGAATTATAGATTGACTATGCTTGCTAGTAGCATACCTTTCAAACGTAGTTGAGTATGGGTGCTTGTCGGCTATTTGATAGGCCACCTAACTCGACTTGGTGTGGTTCGGGGGCATGGCCTCCTCTTCATCTGCAGGCTTCCTCGGCAGGAGAGGACATTGGTTTGAGCCCTGCTTTGAACTACTTGTAGGCGGTGGTGTCACATCGCCCGATGCTGCCCCTGTGCTTCCCTGTGGATTACTGTTGTCAGGAGGCGGACTGCCTGGAGGACTGTTGCCTGGGCCGCCAGCATTGTCGTTGTCATCGCCGCCGTCGTCATCGTCGTCGTCGTCACCCGAGTCTCCCGGGGGAGACAATGGCGGGTGAGAGGGCTGTGACGCCGGCAACGGCATGTCCAAGACAATGTCGCTCTTGTTCCATAGCACGCGCATGTTGATAGTAGCGCCGATGAACCTATACCCCTCTTCAGTGGTAATGTCGATTTCATCATCGTCAAAATCTTTGTTGGTCCACGTCACGTCGACCAGGGCATAGTCGGGCGGGATCGGCTTGCCGTCGTACATGGCGCCACTTTCGAGCGGCAGTGCCACTCCTGTGGCCATGTCCTTCTTCCGCTGTGCCCTGCCGAAGGGCACCTAGAGCGTGCAGCTCGTTGGTTCAATGATCTTGTCGACCGGGTACCTAGGGAGTTGTCTGGTCCATGGCACCATCTGCCCTTGTAGGGCGGCTTGACCCTATGGCAGCAACATGCTAGCCTGGCGAAACATCTGCGTCCTCAGCTCCACCATCTTGGGTTCAGTGCTCGTGAAAGCGTCTTGTATCTTCCCTGAAAGGATCAAGATGCCCAAGAGGGGGGGGGTGAATTGAGCTAATTCTAAATTTCTTTGCAATAATTAAATCCTATGGTTAGCCCAATTAACCCCTTGTGCCTAGAAAGTGTTTCTAATTGTTCTATCGCACAAAAGACTTGCAACCTATGTTCCAATCCTACTCTAGATGGCAATTCTAAGAATGTAAATGACAAGAATTGAATTACTCAAAGTAAATGCTCAAAGTAAAGAGAGGAGGAAGAACGCGGCGATGTTTTGCCGAGGTATCGGAGAGTCGCCACTCCCCACTAGTCCTCGTTGGAGCACCCGTGCAAGGGTGTAGCTCCCCCTTGATCCGCGCAAGGATCAAGTGCTCTCTACGGGTTGATTCTTCGACACTCCATCGCGGTGAATCACCCACAACCGCTCACAACTTGAGTTGGGTCATCCACAAGCTCTCCGGATGATCACCAAGCTCCCAATCACCACCAAGCCGTCTAGGTGATGGCGATCACCAAGAGTAACAAGCACGAACTCTCACTTGACCACGACAAGCCTAATGAGAAGGGTGGATGCACACTTTGCTACTCTTGATCTCACTAATGAGGGCTCTCTTTGGGATTCTCAAATCTCAATCACCTCACTAGGACCTTGCTCTTCTTGGCACTCTCTAAGGTGTTTCTCAGCTGTTGGAATGAGCAAAAGTACCCCCACACACGAGTGGAGGTGGTATTTATAACATGGGCTAAAAAACGAACCGTTATGTGCCTCTGCGGGGTGACCGGACGCTCCGGTCAGTACACCCCGAACTCCAGTGTTTACAGTGTGACCGGGATGACTGGCCGGCATTGTTCGTCAAGACCGATCGGACGCGCGTCCGTCGTGATTTTTCCTCTCTAGAACCTTCATCGAGTCGATCGGACGCGGCTCTCTCGTCCGGTCACTTCACCTCTTAGCGTCCCGGTCACGCCAGACGATTTCACCTTGGTCAAATGAATCGATGGGACTCTCTGCGCCAAATGTCTCGGTCAAAACGGAACCAGGTGTCCGGTCAATATTTGACCCTCCATTCACTTTCAACTCTCGATCATATGTGAATGAAGTTTGCTCCATTGGATCTAAGGGCTGTTTTGGAGCTACCTAGTGCTAGTTTTAACAAGTGTGCACCACACATAACTCACTAGACTCACCTAGGTCAAGCTACCCATCCATACCCTCCTTAATAGTATGGCCAAAGGAAAAGCAAAGTCCTAAACTACTCTAAGTGTCTCTTCAACACCAAACGACACTTAGAACTAGTCCATCCTTAACCTTGTCGTCCATCCTTTGAAAACCGAAATGATTTCCATCGTAGGGGCATGACCACCTTGATTGCCCAATCGATCTCCATTACCAT